AGGGGAACCCCAAAACAAGAGGGAACAGCTGCAAGGAACCGAAAACCTTGTAGAAAAGATCTCAACCCAAATAAGAGAGGGGAAAAGAATAAATAAGGAAATCAGTTTCTGGGTTACAAAACATTTAAAAGAAATTCTAAATAATTCCCAAAACATTATAACCTCATTAGAGGCTATGTCATGATTTATTTTTACAATCATCACAACTATACTTTAAAAATACCAGAGGTCGCGTCCAGCAACTGATGCTGGGACGACCCTCTTGAGATCTTCAAACTATTCAAATCTCTACCCAGGACTTTCGTCAATTTTTTGAAAATGAAAAAAACCCAAATCAGACCGGGAAATAAACTTCAGACCAACAAGGAAAAATACAGAAAAAAAAACAAAAATAAAAGAGGAAAGCAACAAAAAACCGAAACCGTCGTACGAGAGGAACAATGCGACGGAAGTCAGGCGGAAAACGACGCCCCGGCGTAACTCACTTTGCAATTATCACAGCAAAGCCCCTTGGAACACTCGCTGCCCTCCTTCAGGCGGCACGTGATGGGATCGCAGCAAGGATCCACCTCTTCGCAGTGCTCCATGGCGCCGCAGTCGCACTCCTCCAGGTCGTCCAGGACCCCGTTTCCGCACGCCTCGAGCCGATCCCTCTGCAGTGGGTTCAACACAAACGCAGTTATTCGCTGTCTGCTCCTGCGGTTTCCTGCATGGTGCTGCTCGCTGGCCGAACAAGCGCTGACGACGATGCGCTGGTCGTACCGCGGAGGAGTGCATGCAGGTAATCCTGCAGTTCATGCACCCAAAAAAAAAGCCGCTAGGCTGGGGTTTTTTCCCAGGCGGCCCTAAGGAAACAGACCCCGTCCCGGACCCAAAAGTGCGCTTAAGCGTACGGTTTTCACAGCAGGAGTAAAACCCCTGTGTGAAAGTCGCACGTTCAATGCGCCCTCCAAAAGTTCTCACTTGTACGCAGTTTCCCATGCGAGGCATTCCAGAGTGCATATAGTCAACGTCTCGTAAGCACTTTTATGATATCCCCAGGCCACGGTCGGTATTAGGGCCTTTCTAGTCGAAAAATACGGTGCGAAACGTCAGTGAACGATCAAACACAATTTTAAACGACATAACGCGGGAAGGATAAAAATTCATGAAGGATACTCTATTCAAAAAAATATTTTTTTCTGTTTCGACAAATGACGACATATTTGATGAACATCCCTCACATTCAAGCACATCGTAAGAAAGAGCAGGACTGGAAAATATTTTAAAACTATAAAGCAAAATTTAGGATCTCATCGGAACCGAAATAGCACCAAAAATTGACAAAACTGTACAGCAAAACTTAGATCATCCGTTCCTCAAATGAATTTCCTCGTGAAAATACGTAACACGTTAAAAGTCAGTATTTTTTCAGCACGTTCCACCAGCTGAATTTTTAATAATCAACGAATTTATTTCTTACAGTTGCTCATTTTGTGCGACTCATGAAGTTTACCTTGGTTACGTATTGTATATTTTCTAAATAATCTTTTGCTAGCCATCGATTTAACGAGATTTTAAATTGACCAGAAGCATTCGGTCATAAGTCTTGCAACTTCATACATTTTATAGCCAAAAATAAAAAAAGAAATAACGAAAAACAATGAAAATACATTCGAAATTGCTTCAAGATTAACAATGAAAGAACTTCGCTTCAACTCTTATCTATACTAATAAAGTTGCTAACTTCCCTTCATGCCTGTCCCTCTCTTCCTACATACTTTCAGCATAGGATTTTCTCCCTCCCACTGGCGTACGCAAAAGTTCGCACTGATTTCCATCAGGTTTTCCCTGGCCCCAAAAAAAAAAAACGCATGGTGGAGTGAATCTGAGGAAGAGGTCTGGGTTCAATCCCACCCCCTGGCACATTTTTTTTCTAAAATCGTTTCATATTTTTAATCATAACTTGCTTAATTTTTGAGTTATTTCAGCCAAAAAAAATTGTAAATTTGTAGAAATGCATTGCGCATCCAACAAAAATTTTACAATTGAAATTCCTCCAAAAAATAAAATGTTATGATGATTTTAACTTGAAAGTTGGACTTATTTCGTTTCCTACTGTTTCCACTTTGAAATTCTGTCAAACATTCAATTTTGACTCAATTTCTAAATTTCTTGAAGTATTGCAAGTGCAAAGATGTTTTCTAAATCTCCTTTTTTTAAATTTTGAAAAATGCATAAAATTGACTGAGATACAATGAAAAATACAAAAACATTTTATAAAAATCACACAAAAATAAAAAAAAATATTGTTTTTCTACATGTGATAAATTCAATTTTAGATAAATGTGAATGAACAAAACAGCTAAATTTGTAAACATCTTTGTGCTCAATATCCTGCAAGAAATTTGTAGATTGCATGAAAAGAAAAAGAGTTACAGGGAGTTGAATAAATAAAATTGGAAATGTTGTTAATAATTTTTCAACTCTAAAAATTTGTGAAACTGTGAATTATTCACAGAAAATTAATTTCTTTGCAGCAATGGAAAAGCAATGCATTTTTCTAAATCTTCCTTTTTAAATCCTTTTTAAACACTGCAAAATGTAGACAATTGACAAATTTACAAAAAAAAACACCAAAACATTTTCTTGAGATCATACAAAAATAGAGAAAAAAAAATTTTGATTTTTCACATGTACTAAATTAAATTTTACTTGAATTCCTGGATATATAAATTCCTGACTGAGCCACAAATATGAATTTGTACAACATAATTGTGCTCAAAATTCTTCAAGAAATTTTGAGTTTGTTATGAAATGCAATTCTGAATATTAAAAAAATTAAATTTGTTAAAATTATTTGCAAATACAACCAGTTGTTTAGAAAATTTTAAACCCTTTTATGAAATGGAACAAAATTGGGCAGAGATTTCAGTTGCAAAATTTGATATCCAGTACTTTTAAATACTACATAACCTTCATCAAACTAATAATCTGTGAGGGTGACTTCAGCAGGCAATGTGTCTTATTTCAAAAGGCTTTTCTTATATTCACTGAGATTAATTTATCTACTGCACAGCATGCTATGTTCCCCTAACTACACATTTTCTGTCTTCTATCTTGGTTGTGAATTTTTATGCCTGAACCTGAATCCATATCCCATTTCTGGGGAATGTTCCTTCTTATTCCTCTGTGCTTCCTATACCCAGCAAAGTCATGCATTTGAAAATGAGAAGTCACAAAAAAACATCAGGACATGGATTGGTAGACATGGTAAATCCTTGGTAGTTTGTACTGTGAGTAATATAAACATTTGTGTATTGGTTGNAAAAAAAAAAAAAAAAAAAAAGAATCGGCACGGAAACTCGGCGAAAAAGCTCGGCCCCCGTGCATGAATTTCAAATCACGACTATCCATCAACAGGTGCTCAGCCGCGTCGGAGAATAGCGTGGACCCTCTTGACAGCTTCGGCGGGGCCCTCAATCAAGCCAACCTTATATGCAGGGTTGAGCCCGTAAAACTCCGAAATTCCGCTATGTAACGAATAATTTTCTTCCAAAGAACTGAAAAACGAAATTCACAACTATAGCAAAAAAGATTTAATCATTTTTTTCCGCTGACTATTTATGCACATTCGCGAACGGGATGCTGAGGACTATACAAAATGCGACCCTTGCTTCCGTTCCGTTTTAATCATCACTCCTATAAGAATACGCTCATTCTTCATCAAAATTACGCATCATTGCCTTTTGCTGAACTGAAATTGGCGAATATTTCGCTATATGCTCATACGAAACTTTTCGGAATTGCTTGCGGTGAGGTATGATTATGGAGTAAAACTCTCGGAAATTGCGAAAAGTTGGTGGAGGGCTTTCACCAGAAAGCATTTTTGAATGTAAATGAAGCTTTAAAAAAAACAGAATCCTTAAGAGAAAATTAATCAATGATGAATCAATCAGTCTGTTCGTTTTTAAATTCATCTGCATGCATTTCATTCAATTGCTGATAAATGTTCAACTGTGGATATAGTGACTGCAGCATATTATTCATCGTTATGTCAACCTTTTACTTAAAATTTTTGAAACCGCGTCATGCGCCCAACACAAAATTTAGTGGCTTTCAGAAAATACGCTTTCAAATTAAATCATAATATTTCCGTGGTAACATCATTGTTGACCTAAGTGCAATCGAAACCATCTCCCATAAATCTAGTGTTGCAAATCAAAGCCAGAAAGTAACATCATTATCATTATACAGTAGCTATACTAATAAAGTTGCTAACTTCCCTTCATGCCTGTCCCTCTCTTCCTACATACTTTCAGCATAGGATTTTCTCCCTCCCACTGGCGTACGCAAAAGTACGCAGTCATTTCCATCAGGTTTTCCCTGGCCCCAAAAAAAAAACGCATGGTGCAGTGGATCTGAGACAGAGGTCTGGGTTCAATCCCACCCCCTGGCACATTTTTTTTCTAAAATCATTTCCTATTTTTAATCATAACTTGCTTAATTTTTAAGTTATTTCAGCCAAAAAAAATTGTAAATTTGTAGAAATGCATTGCGCATCCAACAAAAATTTTACAATTGAAATTGCTGCAAAACATAAAATGTTATGATGATTTTAATTTAAAAGTCGGACTTTTTTCGTTTCCTACTGTTTTGACTTTAGAAATGTGTCAAACATTCAATTTTAACTCAATTTCTAAATTTCTTCAAGTATTGCAAGCGCAAAGATGTTTTCTAAATCTCCTTTTTTTAAATTTTGAAAAAACTATAAAATTGAGTGAGATACAATGAAAAATACAAAAACATTTTATAAAAATCACACAAAAATCTAAAAATATTTTTTTGTTTTTCTACATGTAATAAATTCAGTTTTGAATAAATGTGAATGAACAAAACAGCTAAATTTGTAAACATCTTTCTGCTCAATATCCTGCAAGAAATTTGTAGATTGCATGAAAAGAAAAAGAGTTACAGGGAGTTGAATACAAAAAATTGGAAATGTTGTTAATAATTTTTCAGCTCTAAAAATTTGTGAAACTGTGAATTATTCACAGAAAATTAATTTCTTTGCAGCAATAGAAAAGCAATGCAGTTTTCTAAATTTGCTTTTTTTTAATGCTGCAAAATTTTGAAATTTGACCAAGTTACAAACAAAAACACAAACATTTTTTTGATATTGTGAAAAATTAAAAAAAAATGTTTTGGTTTTTCACATGTACTAAATTCATTTTTTCTCATTTCTGGATGAAAAAAAAATTCATAATTTGTAAAATTTAATTGCGCATTGTACAAAAATTTTACAATTGAAATTGGTCCAAAATGTTATGAGGAGTTAAACTTGAAAGTTGGTCATTTTTTTTTCCTGATGTTCTGACTTTAGAAATATGTCAAGGACTCAAATTTGACTCAATTTCTAAATTTCTTCAAGTTTTCTAGGCCTACAGATGTTTTATAAATATCTTTTTTTTTAATTTTTAAAATGTTATAAAATTGGGCAAGATACACTGAAAAGCACCAAAACATTTTATTGAAATCATACAAAAATCTTTTTAAAAGTTTTGCTTTTTCGTATGTACTAAATTCATTTTTCAATATATCTGGATGAACAAAACTTTGAAATTTGTGAAAGTTTACTGCGCATTCAACAAAAATTTTCAAATTGAAATTGGTCCAAAAAATGTTATGAGGAGTTATACTTGAAACTTTGAAAATAATTTGTTTCCCAACCTTCTAAATGAAAAAATTAACCACATGATTTCTGTGAAACCAAACTCAAACTTTTTTACAGGGTGGATGCGCAAAGAACTTCTACACAGTTTGTAGTGTTGGGTAGGTTGTAGTGTAGGGTAGGTTGTAGTGTAGGGTAGGTTGTAGTGTAGGGTAGGTTGTAGTGTAGGGTAGGTTGTAGTGTAGGGTAGGTTGTAGTGTAGGGTAGGTTGTAGTGTAGGGTAGGTTGTAGTGTAGGGTAGGTTGTAGTGTAGGGTAGGTTTTAGTGTAGGGTAGGTGGATGGCCATGGTACAGTAGTCTGTTGGGTATTTTACTCATATTACCACACATTGCCCAGGTGTGGCTGGGCACCCTCCCCTAGTATAAAAATAAAAGTGGCTTCCAGAACCGGAGTTTGATGACATTATACGAGAAAAACAGGATTGCCATGGCATGCAATAATAGTCGTGGAACGATATTATCCAGGACATTTTTATTTTTTCTCATCAGCGCAAAGTCTCTTATCATGGATTTTCCACGAAATAGGCGCAGATTTCCGTTCATTTCTACGCCTCTTACGAATCTTGATTGAGATGATATGCTCGTAAAGAAAGCATATTTCGCCATCACTGTAAAGTAGAATTCTAACCCAAATACTGTATAAGCAAGATTTTGGACGGATTTTCGACAGTGTTGAAGAGTACTTTTCATATTTCCGAATGTCTCTGAGGATCTTCTATGGTTTTTTCTGTCAGAATGTTTTATCGAGGATTCACGAAATAAATTTTGAATGAATCCGTAGCGAATTTTCATTTCTTAATGCAACTAACGCCTTAAGAGTACAGTAGTTAGTTGCAGGACTTTTTGGTGCTGAATACATGCATTTTTATGGAACAATGTAAAATGTGCCGCGCATTTTTTTTGTAGCTGCTGACATACTCGTATCTAAATACGTTAGTAAAGTTACTTTTTCGTCATAATGCGAGGGAACAGGAAAGAATTTAAATAATTTCATTGTCTATCGCTTTATATTTATGTCTGAAACAAGTTTCCTTTGATTTGTTCTACTGAATTTTTATATTGTTGCTATAATTAAGTACCACTTATTATACTTCCCATTGACTTGAATAAGATGTAAGCTAGATTTTAAGCTGAACCTTTGAATGAAAAGTTATTCCTCATTAAGATGTGCACTCCATTTTTAGTGACTAGAATTTTTTTTTTTATCATCTGTGCATATATTCTGGCAAAGTTATTCTTTTCTTTGCTTATTGATATCCTGTTGATACCAAAAGATCAGATTCTGCATGGTTGTTTGGCACTATGGTTTTCTACACATTTTGGTTTAGGGAAACTATTTCTATTAAATTTGTTCAGGCCTTGTATTTCTAATTCTTCACAAAGAGGAGAACCAATTAAATTGATTAGCATTGAAGTCTAAGGGAAAATTAGACTTGACTTAGGGACATTCTGACATCAGGACACTCTTGATGAACCAATTATGTCCGCATCTTGGGGGTCTCACAGCTCTCACTGCATTCTGAGAATAGAATATATTGGAATTTGAATTAAACCCTAATTTAATTATTTTTCATTTTTCCATCTTTTAAATTTTATGTCGCACCTTTAAAATTTTGAAACTATTTATGTACAGTATAATATATTTTACAGCATATTTTGAAAGGCTAATTAACCTTGAAGCAATTCTATGAGATGAGGAAGATTTTCACAGCACAGGTTATCTATCATCCATTAACACTCCTTCTGTTAATTACTGAATAATCCTCAAGCAGAGTTAATCCTCTCCATCACACTCCATAACCTTCAGAGTGAAAGGAGCGGAAAACTTTTGGCCTCAGGGCAAGTTTTTGACGCATTGCCTATTACGTGATCCATATCGACGACGAGCTCCGTATGTATCCATCAGATGAAGAGCGGACCAAATAGCAAGCTCTAATAATGTTCGCTAACTGAGAGTCGCAAAACTTCCAGGACCAAGATGCTTCTTTATTCCTGTGCACTCCAGAAATTCTATCCCAAACTTTACATCGAGTACAAGAAGC